ATAAAAGAAAAATAAAGAACAGAAGAATGTATCGCCCCTGAACTGGTCTCAAGGAGCCCTTGAGTAACAATGGTTAAAGCACTTGGCTGCTAATCAAAAGGCCAGTGATTTCGAAGCCACCAGCTGCTCCATGGGAGAAAGATGTGGCAGTCTGCCTCTACAAAGATTACAGCCCTGAAAACTCTATGGGGAAGTTGTACCCCTGGAATCGACTCTACAGCAGTGGGTTTTGAGGAACTTGTTCTATCTATCTTCTACCAGATAAATCTTCCAAAACAGCACCAAAGTATGGTACTGTCTTGCATTATTAATTTGTTTATCTATAAAACATTATAACCTAGAAGCTCTGTAATTTGTAATTCTTATTTGGCTCTCTATCAGGGCAAGCCTGATTTCTGTATGCTTTTTCCAAACCTACAGAAACAATGGGGGCACAGAGAGGCAACTGTTGCATTTTCATTTCAACTACCCCATTAGCTAGAGAGAGTAAAATAATATAGACAGAGACATGAACCAAGTTACAGAAAATCCACAAATGGCATTTGGCTGTGACTCTCTTGACAACAGCAATCTTAAAATGCAGCTGCCAGCATTCACTAATGAATCTCTGTGCCTTGACATTGCAAAACAATTTACCCAGAGCCTCATTTGAATGACGTGAAAACTCTGAGAAATAATTCAACTGCACTTGCCCATCATCTGAATTCTTACACACTTTGACTGTTGTCATACTATACGCAGAGAAAGCATCAAAGAAATGGAATATATAAAACAATTTTAAAGTACTGGGAAGTATACAAAATAATTATTTCTATACTTCTAATTCTTTTCTTACTTATAAATATGAATCTATTGGATATAAACACTAAGTGAATTTGTCCTGAAAAATCAAAGTTTCTAAAATTTCCTGACAATTGTTTCTGAATTTAAAGAGCAAAACTCCCCAAATACGTTAAGCATCACCCAAGAAAATGGGCAAGAACACTGACTTTATGCCCAGAACACAATGGCTGCCTCTAATTTCAGCTGTGAAAGAGAAGAGGGAAAGCCATCTTAAGTATTAAAGTCTTTGCTGTATCACATACCTTGACTCATGAAAAGAGGTCTACTAAAATAAATTTAAGTGAGACTACTTACACAGCATTCCTGGAGGCTCCATAGGAAAGTAAGAGCTTGACTATGTCCAAGTGCCCATTCTTGGCCGCATCATGAAGTGGTGAGTCGTTCTGATACCCTGTAGTGTTCACCAACGCCTTGTGCTGAAGCAACAATTCCACTACCTTCAGGTGCCCATGACTGCAGGCCTCGTGCTAATTAAGTAAGAGTGACAAGAGTGATAAAGAAAGGCAATGAGTAATACTACAATAAAACAATGAATAACATTATAAAAACGTAAATGTGAACCTGTCTAAGACCATGCAGGGTCTTATAAACCATACCTGGAGTTTACCTCTCCTGTCTCGTCTTGCCACAGTTCCTACAGGCCCTTTTTACTTAAGCGTTCTTTGTACTAGCCATTTTCAATTTTTATTTTCTGAAGACATCCCTATCTATTTTGCCTTGTAGCCTTTAAACATTCTTTCCTCTCTAAGAAATATTCATTTGTGGTGGCTAATTACACATTCTTGGGGTTTCATCTTAGAAATGTTTTACTTCTGGCTTCCTTTCTTAACTCCAGAAATCAGAGGACGCTCAGTCAGTAAATGTACTATTACCTAAAGAGTCGTTCAGGTAAGTTGTTGACCAAGTAAAAGCCACAATTAATAATTCTAGAAATGATACATGGGGATTCACTGAAAAAGAAGAGACTATTCACTTAAGCCTTGGGTCAAGGTTTTTTCTTTAGAACAAAATACACCTTTAAACCCACTATAACTCCCAGTGTTCTTTCTTTTAGAAGAGAATGTAAGTTTAAACCAACTACAATTGTTGTTAAATTGTGCCAAAATAAGGAGGGAGGGGGAACAAAAACTAAAATACAAAGTAGTTAAAACCTGATCTTACAAAAAACCTACAACTGTCTAAGGCTGAATACAATTCACTAAATCAGAGCTTGGCAAAGCACTAAGCTGTACCACAGCACACATATATAACCACACAACAAAAAAAAAGATGCACCAACAGAAACAGTATTTTCAAGACACACCTCTCCATTTGCTAAACCTACAGATAGGAGTATGGTTGGTATCAGTAGGAAGAGAAATAACATGGGGTAAGTGTTCAAAAAGTTTACTAAAGAATGATATAGCTGGTAATGTAACAGAATATTCAGATGTTTCACGTACAGATCTTTCCCTTATGTCTCATGACCTGCTAAGAATGCTACTATGTTTGTATTTTAATAAATATCTGGCATACATTCATTTCAATTCTTAAGGAGCTCTGGTAGTGCAGTGGTTAAAAAGCATTTGGCTGCCAACCAAAAAGGTTGGCAGTTCAAACCCACCAGCTACTCCATGGGAGAGAAATGAGGCAGTCTGCTTTCATAAAGATTTACAGCCTTGGAAACCCCATGGGGGGGTCTCTATGAGTTGGAATCAACTCGATGGCAGTGGGGCTGGGGGTTTTTTGGTATTCCAATTCTTAATAGGCGAAGCTATAGTGAACATCTATACATCTACTTCTAAAAGAAACTAAACCAAACTCACTGCCATCGAGTCATATTTGAGCCATAGCAACCCCTCCTTGGGTTTCTTAGGCAGTATCACTACAGATGTAGATTGCCCAACCTTCCTTCTGGTTAGCAGTCAAATGCCTCATGTACTATGCGATCTAGTAGAAAGGAATCCAAATGAGGCATCACGTCCTCTACATAGTTATATGTTGTTGTTGTTATTTGCCGTCAAGTCCAACCTGACTCACAGCAACCCCTCCTTGGGTTTCTGAGGCAGTATGACTACAGAAGTAGATTGCCCAACCTTCCTTCTGAGGAGTGTCTGGTGGGTTTGAACTGCCAGCTTTCTGGTTAACAGTCAAGTACCTTAGGCACTGTGCTCCAGAGCTCCCATATAGTTATATAGTTGCCTGTATAGCTTCTGTATAGTTGCCTATATAGCTTCCTACCAGCCCACTAGCCTTTATTAAAATGCCTTACTGTCTTTAAAAATAACCTTTCTTTGAAAAGGTTAGCCTGCCTGTGGAGTCCAAACAACAAGTGAGTCTGACCCAGACTAAACCTTCTCAGATTGAGAATTTGGCAAGGAGAAGTCATCATGTAACTTTATACCTTATTTGCACCTGGCCTAATGAGAGCTTCCTAATTTCTGTACTGAATTCTAGCTCACAGGAGAGAGGCAGCCACCTCATTTGTTGACACTTCTGTGGCTGCATTCAAATCTCATACCTATTATCCTAATGTAATTAGCCCATATAACACTTGTTTCCAGGTCTGTGCTATTCTTTTTCCAGAGTATTCTTCATGCTTCATTTTTAGTAAGATCAAACAGGCTCAAAAAAAAAAAAGTTTAATATAAGCTTTCTTACTGCCTCTCTATATATCTTGCAACTGGACAGGGTCCAAGTGAGGCTAAGACAGATCCTCAGTGAAAACTGCTTCCTTATACCAAATTCCTACGACCTTTTTATGTTCCAAGCAATCTGGTTCCAACAGCATGCGATGCTGCAGAATGGAGCTTGGTTTGGATGTAGCAGTCATTTCCACATACTAGCTAAAGTCAGCAATATAGTGAAACTGCATTCCTAATTCTATAGGTAACCAGTCAACACAGCCAACTTCTTGCCTGTCAAAAGGGAAAAAACTATAGACGAAACATAATCATTTTGTCATACTCACTACATATATAAATTCTTCAAATTAAAAAGAGTATATATATGGCAGAAGAAACTATATAGGCAACTATGTAACTATAAACTATATGTTGTTGTTGTTATGTGCTGTTGAGTCGACCGACTTACAGAGACCCCTCCTTGGGTTTCCGAGGCAGTATCACTATGGAAGTAGACTGCCCCATCTTCCTTCCGATAAACTATATAGGCAACTATATAACTATGAACTGTAAAACATAAAAATAATGAGAATAATGAAAAAAAAAACAACAGAACACTACCAGTGGTGTCCATCCGGCATAGTCTTTAACATTTGGGTCACTTCCGTTTTGTAACAGGTATTCAACAGAAGGTATGTCACCCTAATAGAGCAAAGGAAAAAAATAAAAATAAATTAAGAAGCATCAAGAAAAGATGGTATTAAGTTATTGGGCTTTTTTATTCTTTAAGATTCTATTTGAGATAAAGTAAAACACATTTCTTGTCTTACACTTACACATGAGTTAATACATGAATTTGTGATGAGTTAGAATTGACTTCATGGCAACAGGTTTTTGTTTGTTTGTTTGTTTTAATATATAAATTATTCTCAGGCATCAAATCATATTGGTGCCATATTGGTCTACCCTTGAATATGAGTACAAAAACCCTGCCATTAGTAACTCATACTCACAATTCATGTCAAGACATCAAATGAAAGACATTATGCCAAAGATCACCTGATCATAATGAAGTTTTTAAATACATTGCTCCATTTGTTAAAAACAAAAATCCCTTTGATGGTCATGAAAATAGTTTCTGAGCACTGTCTGAAACAAAATAAAGCCACAAAGACTGATGGGTAAAACCATTACAACTTCCAGAAACCGTTGTTCTCATATTGCTGCTATTCTGTGTACTGTAATGCATTCGTTTATATGCATCTTATTCGCTCAAGGGTATTTTCTAGGCAGAAGCAGTTGCTTTGTTTAAAATGGCAGAAAGGGGATTAACAGAAATCTACTCAAAATGTCCTGTGGAATCAGCATTTAATTTTTTTCCTCCAGGTTCAAAACTAAAATAACCACCCATTATCAACCAACTGAACTATACAGGAAATGGAGATGATACATCCTTACAAATCTTTTCTACTAGACAAATGGTTTTCAATCCCCAACCCCCAGCCTTGTTTCAATATTGTAAAAATATATGTAATAATTTCACAACAGTGGTTCACTGACGTAATGAGAAGGGGAATGGGAAGAAGTAACAAATGTTGTAATTTGAGAATTCACAACTTTTGTTAAAGGAGGTAAACAAGATGTGGGGAATAACTGAATTACAATGAGGTACAAGGCAAGGAAAACAAACTGAAGGCAGACTATTTTAATTCTACTTTCAAATTATCAAGACACTTTCCATTGTTAAATGACATTAAAATCAAAGACCCCCTTTCAATTTTGGAGATTGTGTCTCTTGTTTGTCTTGTGTTGTCTTGTTTGTCATTACCTAAGTCCGAACAGTGACTGGACTTTAAAAGGTGCTTTTTTAAAGGAATACATGAAGGAAGTCGCCGGGGAAGTCATGCTTCAAGCTCCTGCGGGACTTCCATGAGAGCAAACCCTGTCGAAGGAGGTCACCGGCCTCCAGCAGCCTGTCACTCTTCTTTTTGTCCCTTTTCCCAGCAATGAGAAATCACCACGCGAGAAAGACCTGGCACTTCACTTTCATTTTTGATTACATATTAACTTTAAGGACTAGTCAACTCTAAAAGCCTTTGGAAAATTCTCTAGAAAATAAAAGATATAGTCATATCTTGGCGATACTACAGGTTCTGTTCCAGAGTGCCACAATAAAGTGACTATCTCAATAAAGCGAGTCACGTGAGCGTTCTGGCTTCCCAGTGCATATACAGTTACGTTCACACTATACGGCAGTCTGTTAAGTGTGCAACAGGATTACGAAGATGGAAATATTTTGAGAATTACCAAGATGTGACCCAGAGACCAAAGTGAGTGCATGCTCCTGGGAAAATGGTGCCGACAGCCTTGCTCCAAGAGGGTTGCCACAACCTTCAATTTGTAAAATACACAGTATCTGCGAAGTGCACTAAAACGAGGTATGCCTGTCTTGCCTCTTTTAAAACAGTGTCAGGCTTCAAGAGTAAGTGTGACATTTATACCCTGGGAAGAGGGTAAAATTCTTTTGAAATTACACTAGTAGTATTATCAAGGCAGTCACTCCAAATAAAAATAATTAAGTTCTTTTGTTGTTGTTGTTGTTATGTGCCGTCGAGTCAAACCAGACTCATAAGTTCTTTTAGGATAACAGAAATTAGACACCTAAGTCCATAATGATAAAAACAAAGCAAAAACTACACACAGAGCTTACTCTGAAAATGCTTCAATAAATAAGTTGTATATGACAATGCTGTATTTAATTAGTTTTATGATATACTTCTTTAGGGAGAAGAATATCTCTCTCTTCCCACTACAGCCCAATAATCTTTTCTGAAATTACCTTTGTTCTCTATCAGTTTGATAATGGAGAAATCATTCCATTCCCTAAATACAGTAACAAGTATTTTCAAGCAATAGTTTCTATTTCTCAAAAACAGCAAAACCTTGCTAAGGTTTTTTGAAAAAAATAAATAAATCCACATACAACATGGATTTTTATCTTCCCAAATTAACAAAATGACCTTAAATATTTAATAGGTCTAAAATTAACTTTATATGCTTCAAATTGATTGTCCCAGTTCCCTGGAAAATTTTTTTCAAGATTCCCAGGGGTACAAATTCTATACCTCTAGAATATGCTAACATGAATTTAGTAACTTTTGCTATATATTCCAGTTAGTCCCAAATGCACTCAAGAACATCTGTCAACACACAAATTTGAATTTTTTAAATCAATCCCGTGAATATTTGGCCGATGAAGGCCAAACCACACACATCCCCAACTTTCAATGTGTAAGGGTCCACAAGAAATACACAAAGAGCCTTCTCAAGAGTTTGCCCGTTCTGAGAGGGGCCCTGGTGGTGCAGTGGTTTTGGCTGCTAACCAAAAGGTGTGCAGTTCAAACACACCACTGCTCCACGGAAGAAAGATGAGGCCGCCTGCTTCTGTATATTTCACAGCCCCGCAAACACCATGGGGCGGCTCTGCTCCGTCCTGCAGGGCCGCTAGGAGTCAGAATCAACTGGACAACAACAGGTGTGGTTTTTAATCACAAAAAAGTTTGAACCTTAAAATGCCCATTAATAATATAAAGACAACTGTGGAATGGAAGAGTCACGTAAGAACAGAGTGGCAATGTGGAGAAAAAAAGCAGAACCTTTTCTCAAGGTGCTACACAGCAGGTATTCTTTCATGGCTGCTCTTCAAATCATCAAAGGTGTTTTCTTCTGACAAAACTCCACTTCCAGTCTTCCCCCAAATGAATAGCTGATCAGCAACTGCATGCTTTTTGTACCCAATCTGCTTTTTCCTTCTCAGTACTTAAAAGTCTGTCAAAGTTTTCATCTTCCTATTTTATGTAAATTTGATGTTATATACATAAATTAAATTATGATAATTAGGTAGTCAATTGCAGACTGCAGAAATTGATAAAAATCTTCAATTTCCCCATCTTTGGCTTTAGTCATTGGTGCATAAATTTGAATAGCAATATTAACTGGTCTTCCCTGTAGGCATATGGCTATTATCCAATCACTGGCAGCATTGTGCTTCAGGATAGATCTTGAAATATTTTCTGTGATGATGAATGCCATGTCATTCCTCTTCAATTTGTCATTCCTGGTATAGTAGATCATATGGTTGTCTGATTCAGAATGGCCAAAATCAGTCCACCGACCAAACATGCAATCAGGATGTGTTGAATATTACTGGTGACTGCAATGCAAAAGTTGGCAAAAAAAGAAGCATCACCAGTAGTTGGAAAACATGGCTAAAAACAACAACACGCCAAATCCATTTAAAATTTCTTATAAACGTTTGTATATACTTTTCTCAAGTGATTCTATTTTTTTTTTTTTTTTCTAAATGTTGTTGTTGGAGCTCTGGTAGCATAGTGGCTAAGGCACTTGACTGCTAACCAGAAGGCTGG